AGAGAGTCATCGATCAGCTGCCTCTTGCACACCCCCTACTGGGGATATGCCCGCAACCAAGGTACATGCCCTTGACCGGAATCGAACCCGGGACCCTTCAGTCCCCAAGCCGACGCTCTACCCATTGAGCCAAACCGGTCCCGGCATGTTTATGTAGTATATTGCAGGCATATTTTCCCATCCTCTGTGGCTTGCTTTTTCACGTTCTTAATGGTTCTTTTGATGAGTACAAGTTTTTATTTTAATGAAGTCAAATGTATGAATGTTTTTCTTTATGGTTAATATTTTTTCTGTGTTATTTAAAAATTATTTACCCACCTTGAATTTAAGAATATATTCTTCTAGCCCTAGCTGGTTTGGCTCAGTGGATCAAAGGGTCCCGGGTTGGATTCCAGTTAAGGGCACATGCTGGAGTTTCAGCTCGGATACCCAGTAAGGGGCATGCAGCAGGCAGCCAATCGATTCTCTTTCATCATTGATGTTTCTCTCTCTCCCTCTCCCTTCCTCTCTGAAATCAGTAAAATATATATATTTTTAAAAAGAATATATTCTTCTATATTACCTTCTAATAGGTATATTGTTTTGTTGTTCACCTTTAGATCTACGATTAACTTGGAATTGATCTTAGTGTATAGTGTGAGATATCGATAGATGTCAATTTTCATTCCATAGGTGTTTAAATGTCTCAGCACCACTTAGTGAAAAGGGTATCCATTCCCCACTGATTGGCAGTGCCACTTTTATCCTGAATCCAGTAAAGAAAAGTAGAAAAAAGAAAGTGAAAAAGATATGAGCAGAAATTAATGAAATAACAAACGTAATAGAGGGATTCAACAAAACCTTGACAAAGCTAATAAAAATGAAAACCTCTAATAAGATTCATACATTAAGAAAGATAAATCATAAATTACCAATATCAGGAACAAAGAGGAGGCCATCACTATGGAACCTAGACACATTAAAAAGTTCCTAAGAGGATGTTATGAACAAGCTTATGCCAAAAAGTTTGAAAATTTATGTGCAATAGATAAATTCCTAGAAATACACATCTTATCAAAATTAATACAAGAAGTAGAAAATTTGACTAGTCCTATAACACAAAATAAATTGAATATGTAATTAAAAACCTTCTCACAAACAAAACAAAACAAAACAAAAAAACACAAACTAGGCCAGAGGGCTTCTTTAGCCAATTCGATCAAACATTTAAAGAAGAAATAACAACAATACACTTTTTCGGAAAATAGAAAAATAAGGCACATTCTCCCACTAACTTTATAAGGCCAACACAACCTTGATACAAAATCTATTGAAGGCAATACAAGAAAGGCCATATATAAACATATATAAGGAACCTAAACAAACTATTAGCAAACTAAATTCAGCAATATATAAAAAACCTAAACAAACTATCAGCAAACTAAATTCAGCAATATATAAAAAACCTAAACAAACTATCAGCAAACTAAGTTCAGCAATATATAAAAATGATGCATCCTAACAGCATTGGGTTTACTCTAGAAATGCAAAATTGGTTTAACACTGGAAAATTAGTCAGTGTTGTTTGCCATATTAACAAAGTAAAGGAGAAAAGTTATATAATCATCAATAGATATAACAATTGATAAAATTAAGCATGACCCATGATTATGAATAAAGAAATGACTATTATTAAACTAGGAATAAGAAGATGTTGCCTGAATCTGATAGTCTTTGCCAAAATGATGGGTGGGGAAAGATGCCATTTTTAAATTTGCTTTACCCTGATAACTTATAAAGTTGAGATTCTTTTCATGTTTATTATTTAGGTCCCCTCTTCTACTCGTATGAATTACTTGGTCATATCCTTTAATATGACTATTGAGTTGAATATATTTTTAAAAGAAATGTTAGGCATACTTATAAATCCTGAATGCTAATCCTTTTAGCATGCAGATGTTTTTTTCTCCAGTTTATGGGTTATCTTTTATTATTTTTATTTTATTTTAATTTTTTTAAATTTTTAAAGTTTTAAATTTGTTTATTGTATTTATTATGAATGGATATGTTCACATAAATAAAAAATCCAGAAAGTACAAAAGAACATACAGTGAAAGTTTCTCTCCCACTCCTGTTCTTTCATGCAGTTCCTCTCTCCAGAGGCCTTGTGACTTCATTCTTTAAGAACTTTGTTTATACTGTCACTTGTTTATAGAAATTTTAATGTATTTAAATGTATCAATCTTTTCTTTGTGAATTGTGCTCTTTCTACCTTGTTTAAGAAACATTTTCTCTGCCTCATTAATTTATTCTTCTGTTTTCTAAAATTTTTACAGTTTGGCTTTATATATTTAGATCTTTATTCTGGCTGGAATTTGTTTTTTTGTATGTATGATGTGAGGTAGGGGTCACCTTTCCCTCCATATCACACAACTACTTGTCCTTACACTTTTACATATGTGATTGTTTCACCTAATATAACTTTCTGTGTGACGGGAGACTATTGTTGAATTTCATCTGTATGTTGGCAAATAATGAACTAGTCCAGTTTTTAATGTCTGTTCTGTTCCTTCTTGCAGATGAGTGTGTAGAGTCCTAATAAGTACTGCCTTTCAGGCCCCATAATGTGCCCTGTGTCCCGCAGCACGCCTGGAATGTGTGTAGGCTGTAATGAGGCAGGGACAGGAGGGTTCCTTTGTCACCACAAACAAGGAGAAAGCTTTCCGCAGTCTTCGATTTACCAATGCCTCATCCGAAGCTTTCAGCTCTTATGTAAGAAATTTATTTATTTTTGAACAAACTTAGAGTTTGTATTAAAATAAGATACTGCAGAGTAGTAAGTTGTTATTGCTTAAATATAGTATTTTTTCTTTAGTCCTAGAAATCTCTTAAATTCTTAGCCATGCTTCTTGATAGTCTCAGCTTTATATTGTGGCGTCATGTATCCTGTGGAAAGGAATTAGATACATTTACTACTTAGAGGAGTCATTTTTCCTGGAAGAGTGCTAGGTGTTGTGATTGCTTTTATTGTGGAAATGTTTGTATGAGTCAGGTGCATTTCAACTTTGCTTGACAGATGTGATTACTTGTCCTTTCTGGCTTGTGGTCTATGAACTCAGCTGTTATATAACAGATGATTGTTTATATAATAAGGAGTAGCACAAGTCATCTTCTATAATAATAGAAGGGTAATATGCTAATTCGACCAGACGAAGCTGGGGCTTCGAGGGAAGCCCGGGTCCTGGGTGCCGGAGGGAAGGGTCCTGAGTGCTGGAGGGGACCCGGTGCTGGCAGCCGGGGGAAGGAAGGCCTACTCTTGCACACATTTCATGCATTGGGCCTCTAGTTAGAAATAATTTGTAATGGGTACAAACAACTGGCGATGGCTCTGCTATAAGAGATTGAATAATCCTGTTGTTATATGTATTAAAAGCATATTAAAAGTAAAATGTACAGCAATTAGGTTTTAGGAAACACAGAATAGGGAAGGAATTATTTCTGAGTCAAAGGAGCTTTGCCAGGAATATAACCCAAGTAATGTAGAAAACCAGCTAAGATCAGGAGCCAAAAGAGCTTTCAAAAAGAAAAATGATTCTAGAGAGAAGGGAGAGGGAGAGAGGTAAGAGATAGATAGATAAATAGATAGAGAGAAAGAAAGAGAGAGGTGAGGATTGGTTGCCTCCTGCATGTGCCCTGACCAGGTATCAAACCTGCAACCTTAGTATGTGTCCTGACTGGGAATCAAACCCACCACTTTTTGGTGTATGAGATGGCACTCCAACCAACTTAGCCATACTGACCAGGACTTGCTGAGTATTACTCAGTGATAGAAGAGTGAAATTAGAAGCAAAATACTGTAGACTTTTTCCAGTGCCTTAGAAGAATCTGTCTGAGGAAAGGCTGGATTTAGATCATGAGTCAGAGGCATCCAGAATTGAAAGGTTTTCAAATAAAACCTATTTCTGGACTGGACAAGGCTGAATTAATCTCTCTCTCTATATATCTGTCTGTCTATCTATCTAACTATATATATATCTTAATATATTTTTTATTGATTTAAAAAATATTTTTATGTACCTGTGCCTTACATTCTAGAGAAGCCTTTTTGGTTATGAGAAACAATTCAAGAGTATTTGGCTCAGTTAGAGAGAGGTACCTGGGTAGGGACCCAGGAAACAAAGAACCCTATGGGTAATTGTCTTCAAATTGTCTATGACACTATTTAGATTTAGTTTTAACTCTTCAATAGAATTACCTGGTTCCTGTGACAGTAAGCATGATTAACCTGAATGTGGTGGCTGGCAGCAATGGATCACTGCATGGTAAATACCGTCTAGTAGTGGCTGTGTACCCAAGAGGGACTTAACTTGATGATTACCCATTGCTCTGTTAAGGGAACAGCTGCAGGTCTGATGTTTTACAAGTATTTAACAGTAATCATTCAGGGCTTAACTGTTTTAATAAGGAAATGTGGTCTATGTGACTAGCAATGCTAATATGTTATTAGATTTGGGAGGCTGTCAGGATCTGTATCTTCCTATGGTATATGCCTGAAATTAAGAGGCAAATTCAGGTCACATAATAGAAGCTATGTGGTCTCTTTTCTTTCTTTTTTAAATTATTGCTGTTTTAAACATTTTTATTGATTAAAGAGAGAGGAAGGGAGAGGGAGATATAGAAACATCAATGATGAGAGAGAATCATTGATCTGGCTGCTTCCTGCACAGCCCTTATTCATGTGCCCTGACCGGGAATCGGACCGTGATCTCCTGGTTCATGGGTTGACCCTCAACCACTGAGCCACATGTATTTTCCTAAAACTAAATTCCTAAGTATCTAGGTGGGTAAGATTAAACAGCAACAAGTTCAAATTGTCTTCTGTACAGTGACCAGATTAAGGATAAGGTTTTTCAAAAGGCCAATGTGTAGAAAGAGTGAATAACTGTGGTTGAGAGGACATGAGAAACACATGAAAATGATCTAGGCCCTCCCCAAGATTCTTCTGATTCATTTTTTTTCAGTGATGCCATCTGCAATTTTGTTATCTGCAATGACTCTTCCCTTCGAGGCCAGCCCATTATCTTCAATCCTGATTTTTTTGTCGAAAAACTCCGTCATGAGAAACCTGAGGTGTTCACTGAGCTGGTGGTCAGCAATATCACAAGGCTCATTGATTTACCTGGAACTGAACTGGCTCAGCTGATGGGAGAAGTGGAACTGAAGTTGCCTGGTGGGGCTGGCCCAGCGACAGGATTCTTCCGGTCTCTAATGTCTACCAAGCGGAAGGGTAGGAGAGGTGTTTGGGAAGGGTGCTTTTTGGGCTTCATTCTTGGCATCTGTATGTTCATTGAGGAGTCGCTAATACCATAAAGCAATTTTTTTTTCCATTTTCATAAGAAGTAAAGCAACAAAAATTAATTTAAAAGTCTAGATAAATTAAAGTCAAATATATGTCAGTCCCTGGGAGGTGACATAATTAGTTTAGGTATTTATCAGGGACACCTTGATTTTCATTCCCTATTAATACTGTACTAAAATAATGTTTAAAATAAGACAAAGTTTATAGCTAGAGAGTACAGTAAAGACAGTTTGAGCATTTTTTATTGCAGTTGTTAATTTCCAGATGTTTTAACAGCTCTAAGTGTGCCTGAAAATGCACCAGGAAATGCAATCAAAACAACTCTCAATCAACTGCAAGTTTAACATTAGATTGTAGGTTTATTGAATGGAATGCTTCAATGGAATGCTTTAAAAAGGCAAATAAAATTATCTATGACTCACCCCAAAACAGCCTTCCCAGAAAATAAATTACAGTGCTGCTTAAAAAAAACATCAATGATAGAAACATCGATCAGCTGCCTCCTGCAACACCCCCCCTCCCCCGGGGGATGTGCCTGCAACCAAGGTCTGTGCCCTTGTCCAGAATCGAACCTGGGACCCTTCAGTCTGAAGGCCGATGCTCTATCCACTGAGCAAAACCAGCCAGGGCATTTCTTATTTTATTAAATATAAGGAAATAATTAAGTTAGCAAAAAGTTTAAACATTATAATCTGACCCTGTATCTACTCTAGTGGATAATCTGTCATGCTTTGTCAATTATGGCTCTAAATTCTATTATTTGTTTGTTTTTTTTCAAATTAAATATCAACATTTTAGGTTTTGTTACTTTGTCTTCAAGAAACCTACAATTGAATGTTAAACTTGCAGAGTTGATTGAGAGTTGTTTTGATTACATTTCCTGGTGCATTTTCAGGTGCACTTCCAGCTCTTAAAATATTTTTTTCCTTTTAAATATATTTTTATTGATTTCAGAGAGGAAGGGAGAGAGACAGATAGAAACATCAATGAGAGAGAATCATTGATTGGCTGCCTTCTGCACACAGGCATGTGCCCTTGGGCCAGAATCGACCCTGGGACCCTTCAGTCCACAGGCGGATGCTCTATCCACTGAGTCAAACCAGCAAGGGCCAGCTCTTGAGATTTTTGTTTATTGACCTTGTGAAAGTCTTTGCTGAACTGTGACATCGGATGCTTGAGTGGTTTTCAGTATGCTGACTTTTGTACTATTTATGGAAAATATAGTCCTGTGTAATTATTTCTTTTCTTTCTTTCTTTTATTTTATTTTTTTTTAGAAAAAGGAGTAGTATTTGGATCTCCACTGACAGAAGAAGGCATTGCTCAGATATACCAGCTAATTGAATATCTACACAAAAGTAAGACTACTTAAAATTTTGTTGTTCCTTGTTAATGAAGAATTGTCTGTTTTCTATTGAGAGCTGACACCCTTGAGTTGGCAGGTGCCAACTAACCATCTATAAAGACACTAATCAGTGATAATTTCAGGTGACGTGTTTCTAAATATATTCTGTTTTAAATTTCACTTCATATATTGATTTGTTTTTTGTTTTCAAAGATGTATATAAATTAGCTCGTGTCAATCACATCTTCCCCTTGACTCAGAGAGAGTTTTTTCTGGAAAAATACATTGTCCCTAGAGAATCATAACATTTACTCAAGGGAGAATGACTTATCACCAAAGGTACTTATATCTTTAGGATTATATAATTAAAATACATTCTTTACTTAATTTCCATTTTCTTTTTTAGTAGTCATGCTGGTTATGTCATTCCTCTGAGTGCTTGGCACAGCTGAGTGTATGTGAAGTGTGGCATTTTATGACCCTTTGATAAATTCAATGCAAACCCTGTGCTATTTGCTAGAGCAGAGGTTTGGCAGCCTACGGGCTTGAGTCATCTACATTCATGTTTTGTTTTTAGTTGGCAAAGGATTAAATTAAAAATAAAATTAGTTATCAGTGTGTTAAAATGGGGAAAGTCTAGGTTTGCAATTTCCTGGGATGATAGGAAGGTCTAGGATCCTTGGGCCCTGTTGCCACTTTGACACAGTCAGCTACAGCACAAGTATGTGCCCTCCTTTCACTATGGTTCCTGTTCATTCATTTACTGTTGCCTGCCTGGCCCTGTCTCCTCAATTAGGGAGTTATCTCTTTATATAGAAGCTTAAGCGACCATTACGACCAGTTTACCCACCAGTTGACGGGTCACTATGGTGTGCACTGACCACCAATGCAGGCGCTGCCCCCTGGTGGTCAGTGCACTCCCAGAGTGGGAGCATTGCTCAGCTGACCTGCATGACCTGGATCCCCAGAGGCCACACTGAGGGACCCACATGCACAAATCTGTGCATGGCGCCTCTAGAGTGAAGATAAATATGTACTCAAGCTGGAAACTTGAACTCTCAGGCTTCTTCCAATCAAATCAAAACTATATGTCCCCTCTTCTTTTAATAGCTTGAGATTAGTTTACAACCTAGTTGAGAGGGCAGCATGGTTTAGTTGGGATGAATGTGAAGGTTCCAGGAGTCTTAGACTGAAAGGTGGTCTGACAGGTTAGAGTTCCAATTCCAGAGGCAACACAGAGACTGTAGATTCGTTCTGTGCTGGGAAACTGTTTATGGGAGCAATAAACCTCCCCAGATGCACTTGCCTCTTCAAACAAACTCCCAGATGGCAAAGGAAAGCGGCCTCCAGGGAGATTTGGCTTTTCTTCCAACTTGTTTTTGGAGCTCATTTCTATTGTTTAGATTAAATTCAGTCTTCAGATGTGTCTCAAGACGTTGAATGACTCCTGAGTGGACCAACTCTTAGTCCAGGAGATCTCCAAGTCCTCGGGGATGCTCAGATTTGTCTCCACAGGAGCTAATGGGTACTATATTACTCTGGGGAAAAAACAAAAACCTTCTTCAAGGTCTTTGTAAAGAGCCTTTCAGGTGTAAAGTAGCCTTTTGGATGACTTATTTTAATCATACTTTCTCTTCTGTCTCCTTTTTGTATGTCCTCTATTTTCTCTCATGCTAAACAGACTTACGAGTGGAAGGTTTGTTTAGAATACCAGGGAATAGTGTTCGGCAGCAGGTTTTAAGGGATGCTCTCAATAATGGGACTGATATTGATTTGGAATCAGGGGAGTTTCACTCAAATGACGTGGCTACCTTGCTGAAGGTGTTTCTAGGAGAGTTACCTGAGCCCCTGCTGACCCATAAGCATTTCCATGCACACCTCAAAATTGCTGGTGAGTATAAGAGGGGAGGAGATGTAAGTGTATTTCTTTCAATTTAGTAAAGTCCTTTGGAATTTCCTATTGTTTGTAATCCACAGCAATACTTTTAGAAAAAAAAAAAAAAAGAACAAGAAAGAAAGACAGGAAGGGAGGGAAAAACAAAACAATAAAGCCCCCACTTTTGTTAATATTGGTTAAAACTTCATGGTATTTTTGGACTTCTGGGCCTCATAAGTTTTGGCCAGCTAAGTTAACCTTAATTAAATGTTTATTTTTTATTTTTATAAATTAGTTTCTTTGAACATAAAATCTGGGTTTAATTTTATTTTTATTCCTCAGGGATCCTAGCATAGTGCTTTGAATATTTCAGTTGCTCAATAAGGGTATGCTTGCCCTGGCTGGTGTGGCTCAGTTGCTTGGGTGCCTTCTCATGCTCCGAAGGGTTGGAGGTTTGGTTCTGGTCACGGCACATGCCTGGGCTATGGGTTCAATCCCTGGGAGGGGGTTTTGGGAGGCAGCTGGTAATGTTTCCCTTTCACATTGATGTTTTTTCTCTCTCTCCCTCTCCCTTCCTCTTTCTGAAATCAATAGAAACATATTTAGAAAAAAACAAACAAAACCTTTGTAAATAAATAAATAAACACATGCTTTTCATTTGATTAATTTACATTCCTGAGATGGTTATAGGTTTGGCACATTTGCCTTGGTTTGAGGCTTTAGCTAAGTATTGTTATGCCTCAATTGGGATCATCTCTACTCTTGGAAGTTTTTATTTTTTATTTTTCCCTAGGATTTAAAATAAAAGTTACCCTTTATTGAATTTATGGGGCCACATTGGTTAATAAAATTATATAGGTTCCAGGTGTATATTATATTGTGTGTTCACCATCCCAAGTAAATTTGTTTTTTAAAAATAATTTTATTTGCTGCCTAAATACTAGTTAACTTTCACATTGTTCATATTTAAATTGTTCAAAAGAGTATACAGTGAAAAGACTATTCCAGCCTTGCTCCCCAGCACCTGGTTTCTCTTTGCAGAGGCAACCAGTGCTATGATTGCTAATATATCCTTCCAGAGATGTTGTATATACTTACAAATACTTAGATATAATCCTTTTTTCTTTTTTTAATGTAATGGTAGGGTATTATATACATGACTGTTTTTTTTTTACTTACTACATCTTGGAGAATGTTCCATTTTCAGCTCATAAATAGTTTTTTCATTCTCCTTTATGCCTGAGTGGTAGGGAATTCATTTTTCAGTTGCACAGCTGTAATGCTGCTATAATTTAATGCTCTTGAGGATTTTTCTCTTGCTTCTAATTTTTTAAAAATCTTCACCTGAGAATATATTTTAAATTGATTTTTAGAGAAAGAGGAAGAGAGAGAGAAACATTGATATGATAGAGAAAAGTTAGTTGCTTATCAGAGCATATTTCATCCTCATATTTCTTTTAGCAATATGAGTGAGGAAAAATGAAGGGTGTAGAATTATTAAAGGTATACGTGGATTTATTTTTATTTCTCTTGGGTGTATACCTAGGAGTGGAATCACTGGGCCATATGGTAACTCTATGTTTAACTATTTGAAAGAGCTACCTAACTATTTTCCAAAGTGGTCGTACCATTTTACATTCTCACCAGCAGTGTAAGAAGGGCCCTTTTTCAGCATTCTTCTTCTTCTTCTTCTTCTTCTTCTTCTTCTTCTTCTTCTTCTTCTTCATATATTTTTATTGATTTTTTACAGAGAGGAAAGGAGAGAGATAGAGAGCTAGAAATGTCGATGAGAGAGAAACATCGACCAGCTGCCTCCTGCACACCCTCCACCAGGGATGTGCCCGCAACCAATGTACATGCCCTTGACCGGAATCAAACCCGGGACCTTTCAGTCCGCAGACCGACGCTCTACCACTGAGCCAAACCGGCTTCGGCTCAGCATTCTTCTTAACACTTGTTATTGCCAGTCCTTTTTATTATAGCCATACTAGTGAGTATGAAGTAGTATCTCATTATGGTTTTGATTTACATTTCTCTGATAGCTAATGATACAGAGTGCACAAATGTTTATTAGCCATTTATATATCTTCTCTGGAGAAATATTTGTTCAGGCCTTTTGACCATTTTTGATTGTTTTATTTATTTATTTATTATTCAGTTGTATTGACATTATTTTATTATATTTTGCTATAATCTCTGGTTATGCCTAATTCTTTTTTTCTTCTTTCTTTGATTAGAGTTGAGGGGAGGATAATAGTAGGAACATTCCCCCCCCCCCCTTCCCTTTGCTTGTATTTCCTTCCTACTTGCAATCATCTCTTTTGTCCTCAAGATTTGATGCAGTTTGATGATAAAGGAAACAAGACTGATAGACCAGACAAGGAGCGGCAAATTGAAGCTCTTCAGTTGCTCTTCCTCATTCTCCCTCCACCCAATCGTAACTTGCTGAAGTTATTGCTCGATCTCCTGTACCAGACAGCGAAGAAACAAGACAAGAATAAGATGTCTGCCTATAACCTTGCCCTTATGTTTGCACCCCATGTCCTGTGGCCCAAAAATGTGAGTGTCGAGGGGAAGAGCAAAGACTGCTGGATAGTCTTGGGCTGGGCCTTATCCTGTGGCTGTACCTTAGTGAGGTTATCAAGGGTCCAAAGTTTCTCTTTCTGTTGAACAAGTTTAGGAGCTTACTTTATTAGTTCATTTAAGAGTCATCAGACCTGCCCTGACCAATTTGGCTCCGTAGACAGAGCGGTGGCCTGAGGACTGAAGGGTCCTGGGTTCGATTCTGGTTGGGGGCATGTACCTTGGTTGCAGGCTTAACTCAGCCACGGTTTGGGCCACTGGGGCAACCAATGGTTCTCTTTCTCTGACTCTCGCCCTCCCTTCCACTCTTTCTAAAAATAAATGGAAACATTTCCTTGGGTGAGGATTAATAACAACAAAAAAAGTCATCAGACCTGAAGAGGCCAGTTTCTGTTGACCTCACTTATAAATCAATCTCTGATAGACCTGAATGGCAACGTATTAGTGGAACTCAGTGGGATTATAGCTACTAAATAAACAAGAATAATCATTTTAGTGGGTCAATCTGAATTCCTTCTTACCGTGAAAGCCATCTTGGGAAACCAAATTGATTCCTGAAGATTACATGGTATAAATTTAGAATAGAGTTGTTTGATCTTACAGGATAATGTCACTAAGATTTTCGATAAGATGAAACAGAGAACAATCCTGCCTTATCCTAACTTTTCTTTTTCCTATAGATATTCTCTCCTTGGATAAACCTGAATGTGCTTCTTATTACTGAGAACATGGCTTTCTCAGCGACTTGCATGAGAAATAAATTATCAAAAGTCTTTTGAACTCATTTTTGATCTGGAGGTACATAGGTTCATATTCCTGCCCATTCTTACAGGTTTTACTGTAGGATGGAATTGGGAGGCAGGATACCTGGGTTGGAAGCTATACATCAGTTGTGATTTGAATCCCCCTTTTTTTTCTAATCCTCATCCAAGGATATTTTTTCCATTGATCTTTAGAGACTGGAAGGGAGAGAGGAGGGCAGAAAGGGAGAGAGAGATAGAGACAGGTGGTGGGGGGGAAGAGAGAGGAACATAATCAATAAGAAGAAAAAAAAAAAGCAAAAATTAACTAATAAAGATACATGTTGAAGATAAGGGCTTCGGGATAGTAGAGATGCTGAAGTGTGTAAAGAGGCAGAAGAGCCTCGCAGGTGTGGCTCAGTGGTTGAATGTCGACCTATGAACCAGGAGATCACAGTGTGATTCCCAGTCAGGGACATGCCCAGGTTGCAGGCTCGATCTCCAGTAGAGGTTGTGTAGGAGGCAGCCGATCGATGATTCTCTTTCATCATTGACGTTTCTGTCTCTCCCTTCCTCTCTCTGAAATCAGTAAAAACATTTTTAAAAAAAGCAGGGGAAACGAGAAGAGAATCAATGACAATTTGTATTTTCAAATAACAGATGTCACGTTGGTAACGATTGGTAGTGACAGGTTTCTTTTGTCTTTGGAGAAGCTCCTTTCTCTGAAGGGACAATGGTGGTTGGTACAGATTCTGTTCTTCCTGGCCCTTCTTCCAGACTAGATCTTCTTTAGCAACTCTGCTTGTGTGTCTCATTCTCAAGCAGAATTAGGGAATGAAGATTGGTTCCCAAGGATTTCTTGGTTCTTCCTAGATTATGTCATTCCAGTGGAAATCTGCTGAACCAAACGCCTTTCCAGAATGAAGCATTGTATTAGGGGCACCTTTGTTAGGGACAGAAACTACCATGCCTTTGAAAGAATAAGCTTGTTGGTAAGTAAGTGGAGTATCTGCATTCTATTTCCCAGTTTGTAATCCCTTTTTTGTTTCTTTTCCTGAACAGGTCACTGCAAATGACCTTCAAGAGAATATCATGAAGTTAAACAGTGGGATGGCTTTTATGATTAAACACTCCCAGAAACTTTTTAAGGTAGGTAAGGGATGGGAGTAGATGGTAAAAGATAAAGAGGATGGAGCAAGGTAGGATCCTTAGCAGGGCTTTTAAGGTGATGATAACCAGTTAAAAAAGGCCCTGGGACTGGAAAACAGATGATACAGTAGCAAAACCCCAGGGTGGGGAGGAACAGCCAAGATTGGGAGGGTAGGAAGGTCCCTGGAGGCAGAGCAGAGCTTTGCCCTCCATGAAAAGCAGCTTATGTTGGCCGCTTAGTGCCATCCTCCCTGTTTCCTTCCAGTAGCCTTTCATTTTGTACTCTGTCCATTTCAGTCTAAACTAGCAGTGTTTCTGCCAACATTTTTCTCAAGAACTTTGTGGGTCTTCTGTGAGTTTCAGTGGGATTCACTCCATTGGACAGAAGCCACATATAAAAATCTTTTGAAGATAAACCCTTCTCTACTTGAGAAGGCGAGGGACATGACCTTTAAGCTTCCTAGAAGGCTCTCGTGTGATTGAAAGGATCTATGAGGCACACCTTTATTCTCTTGAAAGGGCTGTTTGTGTGACTGGATAGTCTGATCTTTTGATGCTTATTAGATTTTATAAATAAAGGTTGCAGTCACATCTTTGGCCTTTTCCGATAGTGAGTTTCTTGTCATCTGGAAAGGCTGAGAATTTTTAAGACCACCCAGTTCTGTTTTCTTTAACTTTTTTATTGTGGTAAAATACACATGACAAAATTTACCATCTTGACCATGTTCAGTGGCATTAATTTATTGTTGGTTTTCTAAAACTTAAAAAAAAAAAAAATCTTTATGGTTGAAAGTATTACAGATGTCCTCTTTGTTTCCCCCTTTGGTATTAATTTTTGATAAGAAGTGTCCAAACTTGCAGACTTAAAAAAAATATTCTATTGATTTTTTACAGAGAGGAAGAGAAAGGGATAGAGAGTTAGAAACATTGATGAGAGAGAATCATCAATCAGCTCCCTTTTGCACACCCTCCACTGGGGATGTGCCCACAACCAAAGTACATGCCCTTGACCAGAATTGAACCTGGGACGTTTCTGTCCTCAGGCTGATGTTCTATCCACTGAGCCAAACCGGTTTTGGCTTGCAGAGAGTTTTTATAAGAGTTCATTTGAACCAAAATGAAGACACATGCCACGGAACAAGATCTCAAATGCTCCAGAGAATAACTGTTGCAGCTTCTTTTGTATGTTTGAAATTCAGCAGGGAAAGTGAGGAAGATTTCATGGAGGTAGGAATAACGCAAGGATAGTTAACAAGGTTATATGCTTTCTTGAGAGTTAATACCCCTCTCTAGGGGATTACTTCTGGAATTTCAAAGGTGTGTTAACCTAGATGCACAAGACCAATGGACAGGGCTTGCATAAAAACCTCTCCCTAAAGAAGATATGGGCCTTATTTATAACTACCCACCATGACCTGCCCAGTTAGGAGTTTATGATCAGATCACCCTATGAGGTTACTTTCATAGAATTTTATTTTTTTCGACACAAATTATATATATAGTGTGCACTGATCACTACAATCCATCTCCAGAACTCTTCATTTTTCAAAATTGAAACTATTTATATAATATATAATTGTATTTTACTGTGAAGGATTCTTTTTTTTTAATCCTCACCCGAGGATATTTTTCGAGGGAGTAGAAGAGAGAGGGAAAGACAGAGAAATATCTCTGTGAGAGAAACATATTGATTGATTACCTCCTGCCTGCACCCCGACCAGGCCCTGGGCCAGGGAGGAGCCTGCTACCAAGATACCTGGCCTTGACCTGAATCAAACCTGGGACTCTTCAGTCCACATGTTGATGCTCTATCCATTGAGCCAAACTGGCTAGGGCTGAAGGATTTTTTTAAGTGACTTAACACAACACAAATGTATTATTTTAATGGTTATGTAGAAGTCTGACCTGAGTCTCACTGGTTAAAATCAAGGTGTTGGCTGCATTCCTTTGTGGTTGTTCTGGGGAGACTGTTTCCTTGCCTTTCCCCGCCTAGAGATTGCCCACATTCCTTGGCTCATGGTCCCCTTCCTCTGTCTTCAAGACTGTCATCTTGAAGTGGCATCTCTATGACATTCTTCCCTAGTCACTCTTCCTTCTGACCGCATCTGGGAAAGGATCTCTACTATTAAGGGCCCAGGTGATTATATTGGACTCACCCTGACTAACCTAGGATAAGCTTTCTACTACAAGGTCCTTAATCACACCAGCAAAGTCCGTTTTTGCCACGTAAGATAACAAATCCCTGTGATGCATTTTAAAAGTACAGATTGTACAAACCTTAGAGATAAAACTAGAGTACAGTTTCCTAGATGTAGTTCAGCTTGGTTCAAATTCTAATGATTGGACTCTTTAAAATATTCTGTTTTTACTCTATTGTTCTTCTCTTCCATAGTTTCTTTTTTCAGCTTCTCATCTTTGGGGTTTTCATCCTTGTTTGCTACTTTGGCTTTGTTTCCAGGCTAGTGTCAGCACTGGTTGAGTCTTTGTTGATTACTAAAGGATAGAAAAAAAGGCGGTGGAGATTTATCTTGGAGATTTAGGTCTCCTCTCTTTCAGTTTGGGCCAGAACTGGTATCCTTGTGGGCACCTGCTTTTGGCTGATTATGTTCTTCCCTGAGATTTTCCTCTGGATGAAAAATGGTGGTTGTTTTGTGCTCTGTCACTTACTCTGAAGTAGTGTTTAAACTCCAGATTTGTGCTGTGCTTTGTTGTGTCTTCTTGTCCTCGGTTCCTTTTGTGGATTTTTCTCCTCCTCAGTCATCATATCCTGTGCTGCTTCATTCTGTGTTCTTTGTATTTCCCCCTGCTCTACCATTTTTCTAAAATTCCTCTTAGCTGTTTGTAGTTCTGCCTTCTGTTGTCTGACCTAGTATGATTTTATCTCTCTTCAACATGAGTCATCATGGACTTACATTTACAATTAAGGCCAATTTTTACTTTATTTGGGAAGTCTTTCTTTTCCTGTGGATTGTAAAGTACTTAAGACCCTCAGATTTTTATTTAAAATAGTCCGTCTCTGCCTCCCTTTCTGGATATCTCTTCAGCTATATTATCTTTTTGGGGAAGACTTTTTGTTTATTTGGTTTTGTTTGTTTCTGGCATAAAATGTCCCTGGCTTCCTTGGCTGGGTAGCTTAGTTGGTTAGAGCATCCTACCAATACGCCAAAGTTGTGGGGTCAATCTCCAGTCAGGACATGTATAAGAAGCAACCAATGGATGCATAAATATGTGGAACAACAAATTGATGTTTCTCTTTCTGTCTCTCTCCATTTTCCTCTCTCTCTCTTAAGTGAATCAATCAACCTATAAAAATAAAAATAAAAATAAAATAAAATGGCCCCAGCTCACTCTTTTCTTTCTTTGCCTTGGGCCTGAAATCAATAATTTTCTCCAAGGAGCCTGGGTTTCTTTAACACTAGGTTATAAACTCATTGTTTATGGGGTGTCATTGGCTCTTTGAGGGCAAGGAAGTAGGTTAAATTTTTTTTTTTAGCAAGAATTCATTAGTTCATATTAATAATATTTCCAATTATGATTTAATATTATAGAGCTTTTTCTTGGCTTCTTTCACTTTATATTTGCACCTTTTTATTCTTACATTGCAAATTCCAGATTTTCATAGCATTAACATATGTTATTATTTGCTTTATTCTATGATATACATAAGATGGTTTCAAAGTAATAAAACTGTTACTACTTATAGTAAACTTACATAAACCCGTTGATGGAAGTTTAAGATTTCTTGGCAGTTCCTTTTTTCTTAAATATTTTTCATTAAGTATGTAGTCAGGATACAGTTTTCAAAAGCTAGGTAAAATAATTCCTTTCTCTGTGTTTATATTATCAATTTGATGTATTAGATATGTTCACTTATTTTTTGTTTCTGTTCAGTTTTAGGATTTGCTTTTGTTCCCTTTTGAATTTAATTTTTTAAAAAAATATGTAGTATATTTACATGGTTGAAAAGTCAAAATTATATGAGAAGGTATGCTTGGAAAAATCTCAGTTCTTTCATTATTTATATTGTTTAATGGTTTATCCTCCTAGTGTTTCTTATTGTAAAATCAAATGTGTCTACATGTGTATATTCTTTTTTTTTTTTTTTAATATATTTTATTGATTTTTTACAGAGAGGAAGGGAGAGGGATAGAGAGCTAGAAACATTGACCAGCTGCCTCCTACACAACCCCTACTGGGGATGTGCCCTCAACCAATCTACATGCCTTTGACCAGAATCGAACCTGGGATCCTTCAGTCCGCAGGCTGACGCTCTATCTACTGAGCCAAACCAGTTTCGGCCACATGTGTATATTCTTACTTCCTCTTCATTTTACATAAGTATTTTTATACACTGTTCCATAACTTTTCTCATGTAACAGTAGATCCTGGAAATCACTCTCTACCTATTCACAGAATGTTTTTTCCCTCTCACTCCTTCCCTCCCTTCTTTTGTTTTTAATGACTGCATAATACTTTATTGTATGGTTGTATAAAAGTTCATTCAATCAGTCTCCTATTAGTAGATATTTGAGGTTGTTGTGTCCAATCTTATGATTTATCTTATACAAGTTTATTTTGTGTTTCTGGAGTTATATTTTCAGGACAGATTCACAGAAGTGAGATTTCTGAGTAAATGGTAAATTTCTTAGATGTTGTTAAATTCTCTTCCATATGGTTGTATTATACTATTATAGTCTCTTCCATAATGGTTGTATTATACTTATACTAGGACAGTATCAGGGTTCATGTCACAGGATTCTGGGCAATATATCAGTAAGCTAAATTTTTCCTTGTCTGTTGTTACCCTATAGGGATTCTAAATGATATTTTATATACAATAATTCTAAAATATGACCACTGTAATTTGTAAGAATTTTAGGGGTGGTTTTTGTCATAAGCATTATTACAAATATCTATGTTTTTGTTTCTGGCTCATTTGAGTATATTCATGCCATATTTGATTCTTTAGAACAGGAACAACTATAGTAGTGTCTTCTCAATTTTCCCATTAGATTTGTTGGAATTATCTTTTTGGTGGAAGCTATAAAATAGGGCATTTTGAAGATCTTTATTTTTTCTAAAGTAAGCTGCCAGTCAAATTATTTTGAAAACCATTGTTGTTGAGTCTTAAAAGAACTACTTATTGCTTGGTCTTGGTTTTCTTTCATTACCTGCCCAGGCTCCTGCTTACATTCGGGAATGCGCCAGATTGCACTATTTGAACTCCAGAACTCAAGCATCAAAGGTAAGAATAGGAAATTGTTTTTAGCCCAAACAAGGAGAGCATTAATGAAAATTAATGTAGTTTAAAACAAAGTGTGAAATCAAAGTAAAGCTATGAAAAATAAAATAAAATGTTTTTATTATAGTTCAAACGATCTAGTCGTTTTGAGTAAGGAAAAAGACAGAAGAAGGTTATATGTTGAAATAAAAATGCCCCTACACAGTCTGCTTTCTGAGGTGCACCACTGATGACATAGACGTATGTTTAAAGGTTTTCAGAGCCATGTGCATTCTTACAGCATATGGTATAAACAGTCTGTGAATAGCAAATGTATGAAATATTGTATCGTTATAAAAGTACAGGCTTATTTCAGGCTAAGTAGTAAGGTAACAAACATTGTCAAGTAGCTAAAAGACTTGAGACCATAAGAGCTTAGAATGCAAATGTGTGATGTTTATTGACAAAATTACATATGATTACTGAGCTTTAAAAGTGAGAAGTTAAAAAATCTCACAAGTACTTTTTGATGATTTTTGTTTAGTCTGTCTTGGTTAGAAACTGAAGCTGTGAGCTTACACTATTTCCCCCTCCTGCTCCTGTTTGTTTCTAAGTCTCATTTAGCACATAGTTGGTGTGACCAGAAAAACAGTATTTGATTTCAACTAGATTAATTAGGGGGGGGGGGGGCTTCCTTAGAGAGTTGATTTTGTTCCTCTGCTGCTGCTGTGTTGTTGTCACGTCATGTTGACATGAGTGGGAGAGAGTGCCAGCCAAGAACCAGAGCACTTGGGCTCGAAGATGGGTCTGTCACTTCAGTATCTAGAGAAGTTTAAACTTAGAGCTTAGCTTCAGTTTTCTCTTCTCTCAAATGGGAATGATGTTACTTAATTACTTACCCTGTTTACTTTATAGGATAGCAATGAAAATTACATGATATTAAAAGATGCTTCAAAAATTAAACTCTTATGTAACTTTTGGTGGCAATAATTCTCAATGAATTTAGGATATCTGAGCAGGTCATGGGAATGGGCTATTAATACTAGTAAAGTCTATCCCTGGCCAGGTAGCTCAGTTGGCTAGAGCGTCCTCCTGATACACCAAGATTGCGGGTTCGATCTCTGGTCAGGGCATATGAATGAATTGGCCAATGAATGCATAAATAACTGGAATAAGAAATTGATATTTCTCTCTAATCAATAAAAAGCTGTACATTAACAAATATAGTCTATAACTATAGGTTTCTTTTTATCTGATAATAGTTTTAGACTTTTATTGTCCTGGGTGTAAGAATATATCATGTACCCTACTTCCCCACTCTTCTCCTTTGTGAGAACCTAAAAACAAAGCTGGTGGGATGTATTCATTTACTTTTCTTTTAAATTTTCTCTAGGATGATCTTGATCTGACAACTTCATGTCATTCTAAGTCCTTCCAACTGGCAAAATCTCAGAAACAGAACCGGATGGATTCCTGCTCTCCTCAGGTGACCCAGCAGCGGACGGAAGAGGCACTGAGAGAGCTGTTCCAGCACGTTCACAATATGCCCGAATCAGCAAAGAAGAAGCAGCTTATCAGACAGGTGCCCGAGAGCAGGGAAGCAGGGCTTTAGGAATTCATGTGACCATGGTTATAGAATCATAGGGAATGTTGTTAGAATCTTATTTAATTTTTGGCCTTATTGGCCCAAGCCTTGGCTCAGCCATTTAAGCAAACTTGTCTATGGAACCTCATTGTAATCTCTATACTATTGCCCCGTTAGAGAAAAGTGGAGGTTCTTGGATTTTTCTAATTAAACAAAAGGATCCAACCATAGTTAGAGCTCTTTAAATATGATCATGTAGCAAGATTGCTGAGAGAGAACCAGCATTCACAATATATTATTTCAAAGTTTAAATCCTTCTTTTGTAAATAACAACCTTTCTGAATCTTAGTTTTCTTCTTTATAAAATAGTAATTGTAACGCCCATCTTGTAAAGATTAGAGAGAATCTATGTAAAGTGGTTGGCACAGCAGAGCAAAAGTAGTAGCTCTTAGTGAGTTGTTTGCAGTTAGAATACACTGTTAGCCAAGGGTCTTGTCTGGTAATAGAAATTAGAAACTAGAGGCCCGGTGCACGAATTTGTGTACTGGTGGGGTCCCTCAGCCTGGCCTGCATCCTCTCGCAATCTTGGACCCCTCGGGGATGTCAAACTGCTGGTTTTGGCCCGATCCCCGCATGCCTAGATTTCAGGTCTGATCTCGGCCCCAGTTGGGACATGTGGCAGCTGATGTGTTTCTCACATTGATGTTTTTTCCCCCCGCTTTTTATCTCTCTCCCTTCCTCTTCTAGTGTTTTCTTTTATGAATGTGTATTTCCAACTTTTTTCTGCTTAAAATCATAATATATGTTTAATTTTTTAATATTCTATCCTTTTCATTTAAAGTTATATCATGAACATTTTCCATGTCATTAAAAGGCTATGAACAATTTAATGGTTGTATAATATTTCATCATAAATAACCAAATGTTTATATAGTTTGTATTCTGGGCATCTTGAGGAAGTTAGGTCATTTTTTAGTTTATATATTTTTGTTATAAGTATTTTCATTGCAGATTTTTTCCTAGAGGGGCATGAGAAAGTGTATGCCTTTCTTTATTATTGTTGGTTCTCTTTTAATATATAGGTTCCTTCTTCCCTCTTATCCCTCTTTTCACCCCTAAAAAATTGCCCAAGTTTTTTTATTTGAATAAACTCTTAAATTTGACATAGTTTATATTTAGAAAAAATTTGCAGAGATAGTACAGAGAATTTCTACATACCTTTCATCCAGTTTCTCCTAGTGTTAACATTGTAAAAACTAAGAAATTAACAATGGTACATTACTATTAACATTACACACTTTATTCAGATTTTACCAATTTAAAAAAATATATATTTTATTGATTTTTTACAGAGAGGCAGGGAGAGGAATAGAGAGTTAGAAACATCTATTTTAGTATATGTGCTGCCAAAGCGAGCACAAGAGTTAGAAACATCTATTAGCTGCCTCCTGCACATCCCCTGCAACTAAGGTACATGCCCTTGACTGGAATCGAACCCAGGACCCCTCCGTCCACAGGTTGATGCTCTAGCCACTGAGCCAAACCAGTCAGGCGAGATTTTACCAATTTTTATACTAATATCCTTTTTTCTGTTCTGGGATCCAATATCGGATACCACATTGTGTTTAAGTACATATTCTTTTTCTTTCTACCCCCAAGCCCTGTGATAACCTTTCACAGTCTGGGTTTTGCTGGTTATATCCTTGTGGTATTATTTAAGACTAGAGGCCCAGTGCAAGAAATCTTGCAGGGGGGGGTCCCCTCAGTCTAGCCTGCCTCCATCTTCTCTGATCTGGGATCCCTCGGGGGATGTCCCTCTCACAGTCCTGGACCACTTGCTCCTAATCACTCACCTGCCTGTCTGCCTGATCACCCCTAACTGTCCCCCCCGGCAGCCTGATCATCCATAATCACCTCTGTCTGCCGGCCTGATTACCCCCAATTGCCCCTCCCCCCCTCCTGGCCTGGTTGCCCCCAACTGCCCCCCATGCCCTTTTCGTTGCCCCTCAGGGCCCCCTGCCGCCACCCCCTCCCCCGCCACCACCCTGGTTGCCCCACACAGCCTGCTGTTCAGTCGTTTGGTTGCCCCCTCACTGCGCCCCCTGCTGGCCTGGTTGCCCCATGCAGCCTGCTGTTCAGTAGTTTGGTTGTCCCTCACTAATCCCCCTGCCAACCTGGTCATCCCATGAAGCCTGTTCTTCAGTTGTTTGGTTGACCCTCACTATCCCCCCTGCCAGTCTTGTTGCCCCCAATTGTCCCCTCCTGCCCCATGCAGCCTGTGAGGGCATCCCGATCAATTTGCATATTACCCTTTTATTAGTATAGATATTCTTCAGTCCTCTGTATTTGCTGTAAACTGGTGGTTAGATCTAATTCTAGAAGTTTGATCTGATTCCAACTCGATTTCTTTGGTGTGCACTCCTTAATTTAATTAACCCTTAAACTGATTTAATAAATTTGAACTTGCTTTTTGGCAGCATTTCTGCCTTTGTGATTTCTTGCCACTCTGCTTACTTATCCATATACTAGAATGCACAGAATCACTTACTACTGGATTTTTTCTCAGTATTTACACTTAGCTTTTCATACGGTTGTCAGAGAATGCTATCTCTTGATGGGAGAATATTAACAGAATGTTCTCTATGTTTTCTTTTAGTTTAATAAGCAGTCTGTTACCCGAACACCAGGGCAAGAGCCTTCTACCCCTCGGGTCCAGAAGAGGGCCCGCTCACGCTCCTTCAGCGGCCTCATCAAGGTAAGTGTGCCGTGCTGTTGGTTTCAGCACTGACTATGAGAAAATGGAACAGTTCGATTATTCTTTTATTTATTTATATTTTATTGATTTTTTACGGAGGGGAAGAGAGAGGGATAGAGGGTTAGAAACATCGATGAGAGAGTGTCATCGATCAGCTGCCTCCTGCACACCCCTTACCGGGGATGTGCCCACAACCAAGGTACATGCCCTTGACTGGAATCAAACCTGAGACCTTTCAGTCCGCAGGCTGATGCTCTATCCATTGAGCCAAACCAGTTTCGGCTTGATTATTCTTATGTATAAACAGTTTTCTTCTATTCTCTGGAATCCTGTAAAAGGCTTATTTGTAGGGGGATATGGATAGAATTTTTTATTTTTCAAAGTGTTTTGCTGCTTCCAGTCTGAGAAGGGGTTCTGTGTTTGGAGAAGTGAGAAATGAAAGAAGGAAAGGCCCCTCCTTCTCCTCTGGTGTAAGGACAGACTCCTGGTTCCTGAGCTGAGAAGAAAGTCTTTTGCTTCATGACCTGCTTTGTAATACACACTTTGTAATACATAACAATGCGTTTGCTGAAGTTCTAGAGAAGTGAGAAGATTGATAGAGACTAGAAAAATTGTTAGAAAGTGGACTTTTTGAATTTTAGGTAACTCAAATTTTTGTGAGCTAAATATTTGATCAGTTGTTGTATTCTATTCCTTTGTATCAAATTCATCACAAATCTTGTTTTTAAAACAAATACAATATGTATTTCTGTGCCGTAGTTGCCATTATTTGCAGATTCAAGTTTCCAGTCTTGGACGGTTTGACTTGTAGTTAGGGAATATTGTCATCAGGTGGCAGTAGATAACTTGATTATGGGGTTCAAATTTCCAGGCATACCTAAACTAAAGCAAGGTTCTGGTTAGCTTGGAATGAGATTAGCACTGTTCTATATTCTACTGTTTTTTTTTTTTTTTTTAAAATTATTTTAACATTATTAAAATCTATAAACATATCAACAATTAAGGAACTTTTTGCTTAAAATGACAAATTGTGCACTAAAAATATGTATATATTTTGTAATATATGTTTTTTCCTAGTAAGCTGCAGTTGTTAGCAGTTGCAATTTCATCTAAACTCTAGTTAATATCACTACTAGAAGTTTAGAATTCTCTCAACCCTGATCCACTGGGGCCAATAGCCTCTGGAGCATTAGATTTGCTTGACATTAAAAATTTCTTTGCTGTTAACAGAGTGAAAAGGCAACAAGCAGATTGGGAGAAAATATTTGTAAAATGTGCATCTGAAAAGAGGCTAATATTCAGAATATAAAAAGAACTTTTATAAACAAACAAACAAAATACCCAAAGAACTTAAGTAGACATTTTCTAAGGAAGAAGATATACCAGTACAAATAACCAATAAACACATGAATAGATGTTCAATATCATTTATCATTAGGGAAATGCAAATCAAAACCACAATGAAATACCAATTCATCACAAGGATGGCTGTTCTAAAAACAAAACAAAACAAAACGAAACAAAAAACGCCCCACAAAAAAACAAAACAAAAAAAACAAACCCAGAAAATAAGTGTTGGTGTGGATATGGAGAAATGTCAGTATAGTCAAGTGACACTCTTAAGAAGGCCTGTACCTTCTTGTGACTATTAGAAACTCTTATAGAATTCCTCCAAAATTTCCAATCCTGGGGAAGCAGAGTCTTAGAGTGGGCCCAGTGTAAGTATTCTTTAGTTGGGAGCAGAGAAGGGGGACTCTGAAGAACTGCCAGAGACAGCATGTCTTTGGGGAAAAAATTGTACAAGTAAGTAACGAGTTTCTTTTATAGTTTCAGAAGCACACTGAAATTGCCTGTAGTAGAGAGTTTAAATCAGCTATAAAGTTGCTTCTAACATTGTACCCCTTTTAAATGTTAAGGAAAAGTGATTACTTAAAGAAAGGCAATGATGTCAGGTTTTTTCTCTTTTTTTCTTTTGGTGTGATCTCCCTTGTAGAAGAGGATGGCCTGTGAGGATTTATCAGACAGCTGAGATTTTCTTAACCTAAGAAACTATTTTTGAAGGCCAGAATAACAATAATACAGATATAGTAGATGTTTATAAATAAAATATTTTTTCTTCCTAAATCAGCGGAAGGTCCTAGGAAGTCAGATGCTGTCAGAAAGGAAGAACAAGGCCCCTACGCTGGAATCTCCAACCACTGGTGAATTGGAGAGAGCCAGCAAAGAGAATATGAAGGTAGGAAGATACTGGTTTTTGTACTTACTCTTTGTATGTGTATATTTATAGAAAGGAGGAAAATTGATATACTGTCATCTGTTTGACTGTGTTTCTCAGTAAACTATGCCTTTTTCTCAATCATTTCATTTATGCTGTCATCTTTCTGTAGGTTTTCATTGATTCATTCAACAAACACATTTTGAGTTTAAGGAAGATACAGCCAATCATAAGCAAAGAAGGCAAATACAGTGAGATAGCTCCACAAACAGTGCTTGAGGGCGCACTCTTACTGGGAGACTCCACAGGGTGGTAGCATTTGAGCCAGGTTACCTGGCATTGCATTACCCTGGAGGAGTCCTTAGGTCCCAGGCATGGTCACTTCAGTAAGACAGCAGAAAACCAGTAAGATTAACGAGATATTAGTATGTCAGCAAAACTCGACATTGACCCAGGAAATAAATTCCTGTTAGTAAAGTCTATCTATAGGAATGACATTAGAGTATTTAATAACTATAAAAATCTCTTTTTACAGTTATTTTCTGGATCTCCAGATGGCACGTTGACACCAACAAGATTGAAATGGCCAGAGGGGAAGAAAGAGGGGAAAAAGGGTACTAACTATACTTATTTATTCTGTGTTCTTACTGAGTGTGGTTCCTTTCTGCATCTAGTTAGTAACATTTTTTAAATGGTTGTAGTTGAAGCATTGTGAAAAGTACAAGGCTGGGTCCTTGCCCTTGAGTTCATTTAGCAGATGGTTATTGAGCATCTACTCAGCACTGTCCCAGGTGCTGCCGGTTAGAGCCGATAATATAGACCTTCCTGGTCCCTGCATTCTTGCACAGATCGGACACGTGTAAAATATTTTCAGAGTATTTTTAAGCAAATGAAAAACAAGTGTTAACTAATTTGTGAAACCAAGTACAGAAATGCCAAGAATATGCCTGGTAAACATGGAATGGTTACGTTCCTTCTTGTCATGGACTTCAGATTTGTTTATTCAGTGAAACTTTCCAGAGAGATAGTTTATGCTGAAGGACCCTGGAAATCATGTACAAGATGTTTTTGAGGCCCAGAGCAGAGAGGATGATTTGTGCTGGGACTGCAATGAAACTAGGTAATCTCAGGGGCCCTAGGAATCAGTTCAAAGATAATAGGCTATATTGTGAAATATCTTAACATCGTGAGCCATCTGGTGTAAGTAGGTTTGAACCTATCTGGAGTTGATAGATTGCTTTATATCTCATCTAAGTGATCTCTTAAGTCTGAGAATAGCTCATTTCAGTTAAATGGTTGTGTTTCAGTTCAGGAAGTGGTGATGTAGATGGGTTCTCCAAGTTAGACCTCTATGGGACAAGTATTTGCATCAGGTATTTAATAATAGACAAAAGAAAATGAAGAACAAAGGTTAATGACTGAAATAGATTATAATCCCAGTTGCTGAGTTCTGAAGGCAGCAGTTGAGAAGATTTCTAGATGTCCAGCTTGAAGCATCTTCAGAGAGAGTGAGGGCAGGCAGTGGCAATCTGATAGGTTTTTCTGGTTTGCAGTTTGAATGTCTCTGGTGATCCTTCTGAGTGGCCCAGAGGATAATAGGCATGAAGACTGTTCATACATGAGCTGTGGTGGTGGTTTCTCTGAGGTTTACATCAAGTTGTCCCATTTTAGCTTGCATGGCTTTGGGAAAAGGGCTGTTTTAATTCCAGTGACTCCAAGTCAGGAGGGTGGGTGAGAAATTAGAAATGTTAGTTCGGAGAGTTGTAGCCAAATTCTGCAGGAAACTAGAATTCAGAATCTAGTGCAATTTACAGGTAGAAAACAAAACCTCAGTAAACAATAGCACTAAAATCTTGTATCCACAAAGGTGTATTACTGAGATATATTTAATGTTGGTAACTCTGAAGACATACCTATTTTAATTAAAGCCAATTGACATTAGCTTTATTTATCAGAGATTATCCCATATCACATGAACTTGAAAAACATTTGGGTGAATGTAGTTATTTCTGAATTTTTAGGAATACTTAATTTGTAATTCACTTATTTTTAAGCCAATTAAATAGAGCTTTTTTTAATAATTAATTTAAGCAATACCATCTAGAGCTAGAGAGAAAAGTCACATCTACATAACATATGTGTGTAGACATATATAAACTTGCAGACTGCACAGAGATCCTATAGCTTCTTTACTTCCTGAGTGGGGGGATGGTTTACATATCAAAGACCTGGTGAGATTTATATCTTTAAGGCACAGCGAAAGAAAAGGTGAGTTTTCTCCTACGAGTTTTAATGCCTCTTGGATGGTTTTGGCAGTCCCAGTTAAAATGTAAGGTGCAACCCTTTAATTAGAGGAGCACTCTGTAAAGAATAATTCTGTGGGCTCAGGGTCACATGGGATTCAGTCAGCATGAGTTTTGAAGTGGATGTCTCTTAACAATAAAAAAGCTCAAGCTATCCACTTGCATTACAAAAAGAAAAAGACTGTCAGGGCTTCCACTGCAGATGGTAAGAACCTGAGCTCTGCCTTCAAGCTTGGGCTCAGTCCCCAGCTTTGCTGCTTAGTAACTTTGTAAATCTCGGGGCAAGTTAGCTTGTGTAGGCTTCAGATTCTTCACCTGCTAAATGGCAAGTGCACCACCTCATGCACAGGTGGCTGTGAGGATAAAGGAGATAATGTACATAAAAGAGCTCAGAGCAGTGCTTGGTACAAAGTAGGCATTCAGTAAAGTGGTAGCTGTTGTTGCCTTTAAGATGATGTGTTCACTCTGCATTATTTACAACAGCCAAGATTTGAAAGCAGCCCAAGTGCTCATCAGTAGATGAGTGGATGGAACTGTGGTACATTTACACAATGGCATACTACTTGGCCATAGAAAAGAAGGAGATCTTACATAATACCTAGAGGGTATTATGCTTAGTGAAATAAGCTAGTCTGTGAAAGACAAATGCCATATTATTTCACTTATATGTGGGATCTAATGAACAAAATAAACCAGGACACAAAATAGAAACAGACTCATAGTTACAGAGAACAGATTGACACATGTCAGATGGGAAGGAATTAGGGGCTGGGGGGAAAATGAAGTGATTAAGCAGTACTTATTGGTAGTTGCAGAATAGCCACAGAGATGTGGATTGCAGCATGGAGAATATAGTTCATAATGTCAAGATAGCTGGGTATGGGGCCAGGTGGATGGTTGGGGTAGCAGGGAGACCAATCTGTGGAGTGCATGGTTTTCAGACCCCTTTGCTGTACATCTGAAACTGGTGTGGAATGGTATTGGATGTAAACTGGTTGGAAAAAAAAAAAAAGATGATGTAATGGATTGGGATTAGCACAATTATACAAACTGAAGTTTACTTGGTAGAAATTCATTAATTTTCAACTAAACTTTTTAATCCTCAGTTTGTAGAAAATATTAAGTACGGATTCTCTAGCTCTTAGGAAGGATGTTTGCAAAAAGAAATATTTATAAGTGTGCTTACTGCCCTCGTTTCTCTTTCAACCTAGGATTCCTCTGAAGGACTCAGAGCTCTCCGGCTGTCCACCGGTTTTCCCTGCAATGGGCCAGCTGTCTCTCCGCTCACAGAGAACCTGGGACTTGCAGCTGGCTGCAGCATTTTGAATTGAGAATGTTACTAATCCTATAACTTGACTGATACCTCTAACTCCACTCACTGGGTGTTTCTGCAAATTCTGCCTTCTGAACCAGTGCCAGCAGCTCTTTTTTTTCATTAATATTGTGGGGAAACCACTAACCAGCCAGTATTTGTTTAGGCACAGTCTGTTTTTAAAAATAGGAGATTTGTGCTCAACTACCAGTGTTTTGTTTTTTTAAGTCCTTTCATCCCAGTGGATTGATGTTATTTTTAGCAGATATTTTGGACTTTTCTCTGTTTTGATAGTGTTGGGTATTTTTGTCATTATTTCTTGTTTATTTGTTGCTTGTTTATTTTTTAAAGCTATTTTTGTTTATGTAATCTAAATGGGCTTTAAGCCAGATGTCTTTCCTCTCTTTTACCTTCAACTTTGGGAAAATTCTTTATCTCAAGAGGCTGTAGTCCTCAATACCTTATTTATATCCAAGGAATTTATAGCTTTCCTGGAAAATTTTTAGGATTTCTTGGCTGTGAGATTGCAGATTACTTGGCCTGCAGTATTGAAAAAGGAGAATTCAGGATGAAACAATATTTTTTAAAATGTTAATTATTAGATTGTGTTCTTCCCTCTCTTCTTTCTCTCTCTCCTTTCTTCTTTCCTCAGTGATGTCAGATAATTGATTGTTGAACTCATTTCCTTCCTTCAGTTTTCTCTGCCTCGAGCGCCTCTGGTGCCCATGTGGTGCCAATACTTCTGACAGATCACTGTGAACCAAGGGAAGTCTCTAACAGCTTAATAGAGGTTTGCTGAAATATCTGTATGTGGTGGAAGCTCCGGATGGGCTGATTGGTTTTTTTGTCCAGGACGACTCCTTGGGGTGTATGTGTGTGTGGGTGCTCTATTGCATTCTTCTAAGGGATCAGGTGTGCAGGCTAGACAGTCTCCTGAGAGCCAGCTGGGTCAGAGGAAGGAAGGGAGCAGCAGTCTCCGCAGGATGTGAAGGATGTGAAGGAGAGCATGTCCTCCCGGAAGCAGTGCGGCTTATCACCAGAGTTCCAGGAGCTGCACAGCCCCTCCTGTCGAACGAGCACGGGGAGGAGTGGGGAGGTGGGCTGGAGCCGCAGGTTTGACGGGTTGAGATGCTCCTGTGTGTTTGGGGTGAATAGTGGCATGGCTTTGATCTCATGTAAATACTCACTGCCCCGCGAGGAGCCGTGGCCAGGGAGAAGGTCCGGTTTGTGCCTGCTCCTTACACGGGTACCGCTCTCACCTCTGTGGGAAGCAGTTGCCCAGCAAGTATGGTCGGCTGACCTGTCTTGAAACTATTGACAATGCTGTGTTCTTGTTGAAAGGAAACTGGCCCTGGGGGACTGAGTTTGGTTTTGTGTCCAGTGTCAGTCCTCTTTTCCATACTTACTGTTTCTTCTGCTGCTGTAACGGCGATAGCGAAGGGAAAAAAAGATAAAATCTGGCCTTCCAATTTCATAGACTGTGAGCAATTGATGGTTAGGAGTATAAAACTGCTTAGAAGCCCCTTTCTGCAGAGCAGTTTTATGTCATTCTTGAAAGTACTTATTAGCAAATTCATTCGTGTAAGGTTTCCGTTTGGCTCTTTTCCTTATTGAGAAAAAATAAATTCCTTGCACCAGCTGTCAGTGAATTCAGAAACCCCTTTTGGTGTGAGCAGAATGAAGTAGTGTTCTCCCTTCACTCCACACTGTCTTCATCTGACTGTTTCCCCCGGGTGTGGACTGTCCTGCGGACCTGCTACCCCTCGGCATCGGGTTTGTGCTGTGGCTCCGTCTGCGGGAGGCTCCTGAGACTCAGGGGACTCGTGTGTGGAGTCCGTAGTGCGCCTGGCTGGGTGCTGAGCGAAGTCTGTCCCAGCATGTGCTTTTATGTAGCTCACCCGTGTGCCATTTATGTCTGTATTCGGGTATGTGTTTCGTTTAAGTTATTTATTAAATATGCTTTCCCTCGCATTAAGGGTGTGCTAGGTCATTAAAAAAAATAGAAGCTGTGATCCAGTTGGAATTCAAATTTGAGAAATAAATAGTATAACCTTCTGCCTTGTAATATGTAACTGTTCTAACCCTGTGGAATCTTACGGAGAATGCACAGACAAAGCCCGTCTCATTGGCCACTGAAGGGCACTGTCTCCCTTTTCACTTGGTGGGAGGGTCTTTTTGAGCCAGTATTTAAATTTTTAAAAAATCTGTAAGGTTTTTAAAAACGTTATGTTTATTTTTTATGTTGGACCAATCTCTTTGGAGATGCCTCTTCTTCTGGCTGATAACATTTCATTCTCTCTGGGGTCAGTGGTGATGCGTTTTGCTGTGTGGTGACTGTGGGCAGTGTCTGTGCCAGAGGGCTCACGCATACAAACCCAGCCTGCTTCACCGATGCCCGTCTGCACTGGGGGAGCTACAGTGGGTGAATCAGTGAAAACAGAGGCATGGGAGTTTCTTACCTTTTATGGTGACGGGCTTTTGCACTGGGACCAATGAATCTGGTTTGAGAACTCCACTGCAAAAAATGAAGAAACAAAGAGCCCTAAAACAAACAAAAAGAAAACAACAGAAGAAAGAAAATGACACACAAAGAGAAAAAAAATCCCTGAGAAAAACTCCACTGCACAGTGAGAGATCAAGGGGTCCCGATTCAAACACCTGAGAGGACCATATTAAAGGAGCCGGTGCTTTACCATCACTGAAACCACAGCTGACCCTCCCCCAGCTCTTTCCTCTGATGGCTCTTCAGAGTCAGGCAGTGATGACAGGGCAGCACCCTTGGGAAGCGCAGCAGTGCAGGCTGGTGACCACTGGGTGCTCAGAGGTGCTTGTTTGACTGGCCTGTAAGGAAGCCGCTTAATCCCCGAGTGGCAGAGCAGAGCCCTTCTCTCCGGAATAGCTGTGTTTCTGTTCAGCTTCCCTCCCAGGGGCCTGGTAGATGCGGTTTAACGTACTGCCTTGTCAGAGAACCTGAGGTCGCGGCTGTGCCCCACAGTGACTGGTGCTGTGGCCGTGCTTAACGGGGGAAGCCATGTTTGGGATCGGACTTCTCTGGACTCCCTGCTTCCTTATTTCCTATGGGGCCTCGCACCGGTGCTGGAAGCCGCTGGCTTTCATTCTGGAGTCTTCTAAGTAGAACACCTTTCCCCAGGAGAGAGCCTCCTCCTTGCCCTCTACCCTGAAGTCTTTGTGCTGGAGGCAGGACGCAGTCCCAAACCTGGATATCAGCATTTGGCCCGATGGCCCTAGATTTGGGGAAGCTTTGTGTTCCTGAGATGCACACATGTTAGACCATGGCAATGAACCCAGTCGAAAACGGCTATAGAAACCCGGCTTTCCTAGACAACGAATGCTGAGGTCTTTCTCCAGTGGAGAGTTGATGGAGGGGATGGGGAGGAGGTGGACTACATAATAGCCTGAGTGCTTGGGTTACCATGGAAACCGGAGTCTGCGAGGCCAGTTGATGCTAAAGAGCCATTGAGCACTCCCCCACACGTTTGGGGACCAGCAGAACCTGTTGGGAAAAACACTCCCGCCCCAGGGTCCTTTCTTCATAGCGGGGGCTGCCTTTGCCCTCTCACTCCCTGAATGCGCTCAACCAGAGAAGCAGGGTTTTAACTGTCACCATTTCTTTTCATTCTTGTTTGACTATTATATCATATATATATGTAACTGTAAAGAAATAATCATATGCACTGTCTTTCTTTTATATTCATGTAATATTCTGAAATTAAATTTCTTTGTTTCTTATCTGTAGGCTTTGACTGGTTTCTTAATTCACATTTTGAATGACAGATCATTTTTAATTTTTTAAAATCCTCACCCAAGGTTATTTTTCCATTGATTTTTAGAGAAAGTGGAAGAGAGCGGGAAAGACAAATATTGATGTGAGAGAAACACATCGATTGGTTGCCTCCTGTGTGCACCCTGACCAGGGCTGGGGAGGAGTCTGCGACCAAGGTACGTGCCCTTGGCCAGAATTGAACCCGGGACCCTTCAGTTCCCAGGCCATCCTCTATCCACTGAGCCAAACCGGCTAGAGCCTGATGGTGCCTTTGAAAACATTCTCCCCCTTTTCCTGAGGTTACTGACAGAGGCTCCTCTTGTTTTGAAGAACATGGAACCTCTCAGAGAAGCGCCCCTTGGCTGGTTTTCCAGCTGAGTGGTGGGGGCAGGAGGAGGGGCCTTTTGGCTGATAGGATATGGAGTTGGAACCTTCTGGAATTCTCAGCTTCCAGGGTTCCTGGCTGGGTTTAGAATGCTTTGCACAGATTTCAGTGTCTCACATAATTTTTATTTCCTCATTTAAAAACAAGGAGTGAGCTGAAACCGGTTTGGCTCAGTGGTAGAGCGTCAGCCTGCGGACTGAAAGGTCCCGGGTTCGATTCCGGTCAAGGGCATGTACGTTGGTTGCGGGCACGTCCCCGGTGGGGGGTGTGCAGGAGGCAGCTGGTCGATGTTTCTCTCTCATCGACGTTTCTAGCTTTCTATCTCTCTCCCTTCCTCTCTGTAAAAAAAAATCAATAAAATATATTAAAAAAATAAAAATAAAATAAAATAAAATAAAATAAAAACAAGGAGTGATATTTACAGAAACAGCAAAAACCAGACGACATTTTCACCTGGGGTGGCAGGTTGCAGAGTTCAGACAGCTCTGCTTGAAATGTTTCTGCCGCTGACAATGTGTGTGATCTCGGCATGTCCCTTGTGGGGAAGGTGGGGCAATGGTGTCCGATCTCAGTATCGCCATGCTCTCAGATGTGAGCTTAGCACACGGTTTTAATTTGGGGTCTTTGGTTGTACTTCAGGATGTCATTTCCCCCTGTAATTCTATGTAAAATGTTGTGTGCATTTGAATTTTCCTAAGGCAGAGAGTGTAAAGCTTCCACAAGAGGAGTCCTTGACCACTAAAACACTGTGAACCACTAGCCTTCGCAGTGCCTGGCAGATGGCAAGTATTCATTAAATGTTAATTCTTTCCCTGCCAAGGATACATTTTACAATCAGCAGCTTATTGATGCTGACATCGTCATTTCTGATCACAAAGGAGAGACTTCAGTCTGGAAGGGGGAAGCTCGCAGCTGTTCCCCTCGCTGCCTGTCCATCCTCTCCTCTCGTGCTGCGCCGGCTCCCCAGGCGCTGCTCGGGACTGTCTGTCCCTCCGTCCTCACCCTCAAGGACCGACCTGCGTTATTTACTGTAAAGAAAGGAGCCACTGCTCCTTGGACCTGGAGGTTGGAGAGACCCTTACGGATGGTACACGGGAAACAGTGATGCAGGGAAAGGGGTGAATGACAGGAGTAATTTTGAAAAAATAGGATAAAAGGCCTAGTACAGTGCTGAGCACATAGGCATTAGTAACTGAATCAGACACACCGCACAGCAGGAAGAGAGGCAGGAAAACCAGCCGGAGGAAGAGTTCCCCAGGCCAGTTCCGTGGGCTTTGTCAGCGGTGGGCTGCCACTCTTGGTTCCTGCCTGTGTTCCTGAAATGGAGGCATAGGGGGATGAGGATGGTGAGGAAGCCTGACCCTATTCGAGGGTATGGTGTGCAGCATAGCATGCTTTTTTCGATGCTTCTTTAATTCCGGCCTCTTGATTTCCCCGGAACAGGCAAAAACCAACAACAAGAATTGGGGACCCTGGGATTTTCTGGAAACCGAGTGACCAGTAATCCAGGTTTATCAGGAACTTCAGCGTAACTGAGATTGACCACTAATGAGAGGTCTCGTGCTGCAACCATTGGAACGCTGGCTGTGTGTTCGGTGCTGAACGGACCGGGCAGAGGGGGGGAATGGAGAGGCGGGCATGGCCCCATTCCCTCTCTTTCTCTCTTCCATGGGAGCCCAGCCGACTCTTTCCGGAGGAATCTAGAAACCATCTGGCATGGCGGAAAGGGGATATATTTAGACTAAGCAAATCCTCAGCAGAGACGTAGAAGCAGAGCCAGTCAGAGCGAGCTATTTGGGGCTTGGAGAAAATGTGAGGCAAGGAGGGGGGCAAGGACACACCAGATCCCACACCCATTTAGTCAGGGAGCTCCCTGGCCTCTGCTGTAGAGCAAGATTCCGTTTAAACAGGGGACTGGGAAATCATCGAGCTAGCTCACAGACGATGCTGTACAGACGGAAATGGAGATTTGGAAAGGCGGCGACCCAGGCCTGAGACAGCACATCCAGGGAGTGGTAGTGTGGGAATCTGAACCCATCTGTCTTTTAAAATCAACTCTACTAGCCTGGCCAGTGTGGCTCAGTGGTTGAGCATTGACCAATGAACCAGGAGGCCACGGTTCAATTCCCAGTCAGGATACATGCTCGGGTTTCGGGCTCCATCCCCAGGAGGTAGTCAATAATGATTTTCTCATCATTGGTGTTTCCTTCCCTATCCCTTTCTCTCTGAAAGCAATACAAATATTTTAAAATCAACTCTATTAAGAGCACAGTTTTGAAAGATGAATATATCTCAGTAACCACCACTGCAGTTAAGACGTACACCATTTCCATCACTCCAGAAAATGCTCTCATGGCACTTCACAGTGAATCCCCCATGCACCTGCCCCAGGCCACCGTCTCTTTTCTGCCAGTGGCAGTTCCTTTTGTCACTAATCCCATCTCCTAACTAGCAGTTGGTGTGTTGACTACCTCCTTTTGCTTCCTGGCTGGCTTGAAATACCGGGTGTTCCAATATGCTGGAGGGAGGACCCTTGCTCCATGTTTCTGCTTTTCTGGGACCAATGGCAGGAAATGACCGAGTCCCACGATATCTAGTCTTTTTTCATAGTAAATCTTCAAGAGCCAGGATGTATTGTGCAACTGCAGCACATCTCAACTCGGACAAGCCACATTTCAAATACGCAGTAACCATGCCACTCTCACTCTTCTGGACACAGTGGCCTTCCCAGATGCGAGAGTTCAGATGCATGTACCTGTAATAACAGTTTCTGCCACTAGATGGTGCAGGTGACCTTTCCCCCAGTAACGCATCAGGTGTTCAGTTGGGTGGTTGGGGACTTCTCTTAAAACTCCCCTGTCTTACATTTATTTGTTTAAATTCTAGCCAGAAGTGAGCTTGAAAGGTTCCAAACCATTACAAACTCACTCCAGACCTAAACACATGTAGCTGAGTCTGTGTGTGCCTGGGACCTACGGTGTAACCGGGATTTCTCTTACATCCATGTAAAATATCATGTTTATTAAAAGGTAAGCTCTAAAATGTGCTAATTTAAAGCTTACATGTACAATATTAAAACTGAGCTTACATATATATTATTAAAACAACTAGAGGCCTGGTGCACGATTTCCTGCATGGGTGGGGTCCCTCGGCCTGGCCGGCAATTCAGGCCTATTTTTTTTTTTTAATAAATTATTATCTGTGTACATATGAGGCCTATTGATTGTTTAGAATTTAGGCAAACAACATTTGTTTGTGAGGAGCATTCTCTCACCGACATTCTTTAGAATTATGGGCATATAGTGATGATAGAAAGCAGACTATTGGTTGATTACTTAAAATTTCTCCATAAAAATTCTCCTTGTTGC